GCAACTCTTCCCTCGCTATTGTAGCTCCAAGTGCGTCATAGGTCGCCGTGTACTCCTGAAGACCTATGGAAGTCGCCGTATACTCCTGGAGACCTATGGTGATCACTGTAGCAGTCACCTTACTTAAGTAAATAATTATTTGACTGCACTATATAAATTTTTTTTTTCATTGCATTATTCAACCACTTATATATATATATATATATATACTATGATACTGCTTAGTTTTCTAAGCTCCTCTTTCAACAAAGACGGCTTGTCATGTCTTTTTGTGTTTCGGTTTCAGAATTCACTGTTTTTAAAAACAAAACATAGACCTAACTCAAATTCTAATTCTCTTCTCACTAATTCATTGTTGGATTCTTACACCGACACAGACCATCAAATAATTAAAACAAAAAAAAAAACAAAGCAAAACCCACATTTTTTATTATAAAAAGGTGACAATTTATCAATCAGTATACTGCTTTCTTGTTCATTTGATGTATCATGTTCTTGCACAATGCCTATACCAATTTATCACTTAAGTTAGCTCTATGTTTTGCTAATCAGTCCATGGGTAGGGCCGAATAATAACGACCTTTTTATCTCTTTGCTAAGCCCACTAGTTCGATTATAAAATCGAATTCGTTTCATTATCTCCTATCAGTTTTCTTTAGATTCACTCAAAATCTCTTTAAAATTTTTAAATTAAATAAAAATATATCGTATTTAAGGGTTGAGTATTTTCTTGAATTTGAGGATTTTCATCCGACGATCAGAGGAGGAGATCAGAGTATAACATCAAATCTTTAGATGGATCTTCGTCGATTTTGAATGGATTTCGTGGAAAATCAATTTAAGAAGTAAAAAAAGGAGTGAAATATGAACATTTTGGTACCATTCTTATCTCAAGTAGAGACCGATAAGGAAGACGATTGATCCACATCAAGGATCTGATTGGCTGCATTGACCAAAATGATACACAAACCAAAGTTCACATGAAAGAAGATGACCACATCATCACATTGTTAATGATTTAATGATTCAATATTATAATTGAAGTCACCAAAGTTTAATGATAAAATGAAGTTTTCTAAAGTTCAATGATAAAATATTGGGTAAAATACATAACTGATCTTCCAATTATAGGATGTTATTTTGATGAGTTCTCCAACTATTAAAAGTTACAAAATGATCCTAAGACTATAAGATATTATTTCATTGAGTTTTTTGACTATTAAAAGTTATAAAATGATCACTCAACTATTTATATATTTCAAACTCGTCATTTTCTATTAAAATAATAATAATCGTTTAAGTTGTATATTAATCTACTCACTGAAATATGATTAAATTTGATCCCAAAACCATTTGAACTTATAGTCATTTAAGATTTAAAAATCATATTTTATCATATCATAATTAATAAATTAACGTTGAGTTTAGATGTAAGTTACAAAATAAGTGACGTGCCCCGATAGATGGTTACTACGGTTTTGCTTTTTGGCTTCCGTTACAAAATAAACAGAGAGCACAAACATGCGCACACGTGTTGGGACCATCCGCACGTGTAACGGACTTTCGTTACTAAAGGTTCCGTTTTCTCTCCCTCGGAAAACTCCAAATCTCTAAAACGGTTTTTCTTTTTGGCTTCCGTTACAAAATAAACAGAGAGCACAAACATGCGCACACGTGTTGGGACCATCCGCACGTGTAACGGACTTTCGTTACTAAAGGTTCCGTTTTCTCTCCCTCGGAAAACTCCAAATCTCTAAAACGGTTTCCACTTTCCACAAAGGGACAAAATTCATGCATGTGGCAAAACCCACTTTAAGAATATATATATATATATATATATATATATTCATTAATTATTCTTTTTCGTACAGTTTTATATATATTCATTTTCATTTTTACTGTATTTTTGCATAAATTTAATTATCGAAATTGTTTAGGGACATCATCATAGTGTAAGTAGATTAAAGGATTAAGTTAAAATAGTTATTAAACACAATAGTTAGAAAAAAATCTTAAAATTTTATTATTTATTTAAGGAAATAAGTTAAAATTTTGAGATTTTTTCTAACCGTTATATTTAGTAAATATTTTATTATTTATTTATTTTAATAAACATCACGACAACATCTAATCACGCCAACAATAAAAATCATATAAATAATAATAATTAGGAAATAATTCAAAATATACTTAAATAATGAAAAGGGTATTTCCTTTGATAAGAAAAACTTGTTATTCCTTGAGTTAATGGAGTTTAAAACCACATTTGCAGGGATGTATGAGTGTTCATATCAAATGATTAAGAGTTTTTGAACAGATACTATATTATATTCATCACAGACTAATAAAAATAAACTTATTATGTTACAAAATGCACGTTTATTAGGTAACCTTTATTTTATCTGTATAAAATATTTCTTCATCATTAATAACGTACTCACATTCTGCAGATACAATTGTTCAGACTAAAGACTTTCAGAAAGAACAATACTCCCTTTTATCATTGAGGTCGCTCGATAAGTTCGAAAATATTAGTATATTTGGTATTAGTAGTATTTATTAGCTTTGCTGACTACCCTAAAGCCCTCCATTGAAATGAATGATTCCACAGTCAAACAAGCAAAACGAAACGAAAAGAAACGAACCCATTATTATTACTTTTTGAAACCACCAAAGACAAAGTCTCCCTCGATACGTTACAACCTAACCTGCATAGGCATTTTTCTTGTGACATGCATGCATGATAAGTGTGAATAGTTTTCTCCCTGAAATGGTTTTTAGGCTTACAAGCATGCATTTCAATCTCGAACTTTTATCTCTCTATTTATATTTGATTCATTGATGATATATAATAGTTAAGTGGCCAAAACAGAAATTAAATAATAAGTGAATGACCAAATAGACAATTTACCCTGATATATATGTTATCAATACAAATAATCACATGGTATTACTTTTGTTGTGCCCAATTAAGATTTTATGCTACTTTTACAAAGGCAAATAAGAAAATTCATATATATATATATATATATATATATATATATATATATTTAATTAATCTCGGGTAAGTAAAATGTAATATATGTTCAAAAATAACTCTCAATCTTTTAATATTGAAAGTTCATACTATTAAAATCTTTGAACGTTCAATAACATAAATTTATATTCTGTGAGTGAACGACGTTATAATATTTTATTAAAACTACTATTTTGATACATAAGTTGTGTAAACTAAACTTTACATTACACAATCTTATTTGTTTGAATACTAAAATCTCAAATCTAAATCTTTAATCCTAAAATCTTAAATTACAAATTTAAACTCTAAATTATAAACATTAAGATCTAAACCCTGAATAGAACACATATCATTAAAAATAAATGATTTTATATAAAATAAAGTTGATACAAGTTATATATTAGATAAATTTTCTTTTATTAATAAACAAATATAATTTTTTAATATATATAGAGAGAGAGAATTTTGTTTATCATTCGGTCAAATTAGATCTATCTAAACTATCCATGTATGTCTCTATCCATAAATTGAAGATTATTATATATTTAAATACTTGAAATTTGTATTCTATTTTATGTTATAATAATAATTATATTAATTATTTTAAAATTCAATCGTAATCGTGATATTCTATTCTACATAATAGAGATGAACTAAGGGGTGAATATAGACAATCATGTCCTGAAAATTTAAAATTACTAAATATTTTAATTTTTTTTATATATTTTTATTAAAAAAATTCTATTAATAAAGTTTAATTAACAAGGAGGGAACGAACATCCAGGACGGACGCATTGGTGAAATGGACAAAATCTATGTCTGTGTTGGGAAGCTCTCCCCTCATGTCTTATTGGGCATATCGTCATTTAAGCTTTGACGGCTTAACAATATCCAATGTTCAAATTAATGTAAAAAAATGTTTTCAAGGAATCCTAGATGTTATTATTATATATTTTTTCTTTTTTTTATTAATAAAATTTAAAACTTTATTTAGACACTAATAATTAAAAAGAAGGTAAAAATTGAAGAGGAATTTGAGAGTGAATATAGAGTTTTTCTTGATAAAAATATTATATTTAAATTATCTTGTTATATTGGGAGATATTCTTTGAAGATAATTTTTAAAATTTTTTCGAATATATCATATTATCTTCAGAATCATCTTTCGTCAAGATTATTTTATTGGAGTTTATACTCATCAATCTTTGACGTGATCTTTGACAAGGTCAAAACTAATAGTCGATAGTCATATATGTATAGTTCATTGGTATACTAACAGACATGATAATTTTGGACCTACTAATAAGTATGATGATCCTACGTGTGACATTAGTCATCAAAGAGTCAGTATAGAAGTTCATCATATGTATTTGATAAAAATACTTTCTTTCTCTCCTTCCGCTCTTTCACTTATATTTTTTTTATCTTCTTCGTCCTCCATTTCATCTCTCTCACATAAAAACATTGACTAATGATTGTTAACTCACTGATTGTGGCTCTCCACCCAAACCAGAAATGAGAATAACAAAGATCGACAAGATAAATTTGTTCCTATCAACAAATTTTAAACTAAATAAATTCAAATCGATGATATATTATTGTTTGATTAAGTTAAATTAAATTTAGATTAATAAAATATTTTTTAATCAAATCTAAAGTAACAAACATGTAATGATATTTAATTAATCTTAATTAATTAACAAAACAAAACCTAACACCAAAACCAAAACAAAAACAGAGACACACACTCCCAGCACCCACACGAGCGGTTCTCCAGTTGCATGCAAAGCCCCAGGCTTTATTTATTACCTTATTTCATTTCCCCATTTCTTTAATAAATAAATAAATCTGTCCCCTCCACCCCCTGGGCCCTGCCCCTGACCTCATTCTCCATTGCCTTTTTAAACCCAAAAAACTAACAGCGTTTGCAAACAAAAGGCAGAGAAAACAAATCAAGAACCTCTTCTTTTAAATCCTGTCCTCCTTTGATTTTTACAAAGTCTCCATTTTTCATTTTCTTTCTTCCCAAACACACTCATCTTCCAATGCTTGAGACCTTATTTCTTTGATCATCCGGGTTTTCTTTTCTGGATTAATCTTGGTTTTCTTAGAACAATGAATCTACAAGAGAGGAACTTTCTGGCTCTTCCTGCTGATAAATCTCCAATGGGGTTTCAGATTCCAACCTCTTCAATGGAACAAAGCAATAAATGTTTGAGCTTTGAGCCATTGCAAATCAGGGGGACTCAAACTGTTGCTGCTGCTGGTGGTGCCAAAAATGGGCACACCAAGCTTTGTTGTAGGGGTCATTGGAGGCCAGCTGAAGATGCTAAGCTAAAAGATCTTGTAGCTCAACACGGTCCTCAAAACTGGAACTTGATAGCTAAACATCTTGAAGGGAGATCAGGTTCACTATAAAAAGTTCCCATCTTGGTGATCATAATCATTAATTTTGCAAATGTTTCATCTTTTTTGCTAAATGGGTGTCCTTTTTGCAGGCAAAAGTTGTAGATTGAGATGGTTTAACCAGCTGGATCCAAGGATCAACAGAAGAGCATTCAGTGAGGAAGAAGAAGAGAGGCTGGTAGGTGCACATAAGGTGTATGGCAACAGATGGGCAATGATTGCTAGGCTGTTCCCTGGTAGAACTGATAATGCAGTGAAGAATCATTGGCATGTGATAATGGCTAGGAAACATAGAGAACAATCAAGCATTTATAGGAGGAGGAAGCCTTCTTCTTTAGCCGCCAGTGATCAATCAACCATTTCATCAGTCTCTACTTGCACTGATCTTGCACTCAGTCCATCATCATCAGCCAAAATGTCCCATCAACCTTTCACTCCATTTCACCAGATGGGTAAATTTGCAGGTAGGGATGGACCGAGGACAGTCATTTTCTCTTAAAATCATAAAATTTATTCTCTTAACATAAAATTATTCATTCGTATGTGGTTGCAGGTTCACCAAGGGAAAAGGTAAATGTGTGTTACCAACAAGGAGTATCCATGGGAGTGGACCAACATGCTAACTCATCAGATTCTAACTCAGAAGTTTCAGCAACTGACTCAGTGGTCACAAATAGGACCAACCACTCCCAAACTGGAGATGGAGATTTGAAGATCAACATCATGTGCTTCATTGATTTCCTTGGAGTAGGAGCTTCTTAAAAGACCAACTATGGAGTTTTTTATTATTACTATTTTTTGGTTAAAAGAAAAGAATTCAGCTTAAAGAGAAATGAGAGGGGTAAAATTGGATCCAATGGACAAAAATATTGGGTTTCTGCAGTTGGTCTCATCATCCTTATAGTTTTGTATATACAGTTTAGTTCCATATATATATATATATATAAGTTTAGTTTATGAGAAATATATAGAACTACAGTTTTGAGAAAAATAAAAATAAAGAAGAGAGAGTTCTTCTACTTTATCAGTTACAAATATTTTTTTGGCAGAGGGTAAAGTTGTCAGGGGATATTTTTATTTTTATTTAATTAAAATGTGGTTAAGAGTTAATTATAGTTAGACTTTTAACGGAGGATTGATTTGATATAATAAATTTATAAAAATAAAAGGGGAAATTACACAATTAGTCACTAGTATTTGAGTAAATTTTCATTTTCTCCATTGAAGTTTCAGAAGTAACAAATTGATCACTAAAACATCAAATAGGTCTTTGAATAATGATTTTATATCTATTTTATTCCAAAAGCTTTCTAATTTTTTGTTTATCATTCAAATATTCGATTGATTCATGCCCAAAAGTTAATTTCTAAATTTTATTTTTAAAATTTAAAAGTATATTTATAAAAATGAGAAAAATTAGAAAAATTAGAAAGCTTTTGGGGTAAATTAGATATAAAATCATTGTTCAAGGGCCTCTTTGATGTTTTAGTGACCAAATTGTTTATTTTGAAACTTTATTGGGGAAAATGAAACTTTACACAAACATTAGTGACTGTTTGTGTAGTTTACCATTTTTAATTTTATAAATTCATTGTATCAACAATCTGTTAAAGGTCTAACAACAGTTAATCTTCAATGACCACATCTTAATTAAATAAAATTGAAAGTGACCAAATATTATGTTTTTTTTAATTCAGCGAAGAAAAATATACAAAACTTAAACGAAAACGATCAATCATGTAATTTACTCAATTGTTAATTGTAATCTAATAAGTTCAATATATTTTTCATTTGGTAAACATGATTTTTCAAACTTGTAAACTATAAATCGTCAAAATATTACAATTCAATTTTCAATTTTTTCAATTTCTTCACTCACCTCTAACAAAAAACGATAATAACCAAATCAAGACAGATTCAATACCAACAAATGTTGAGTCAAGTGATAAAGTACATTGTATTTTAAATTCAAATCTAAATATCTTAAAAATAAGAGACAATTATAAACTTTAAATATTAACTAAAAATAAATATAATAGATAAAATTTTTGAATGAACAATTATTTATTTATTTTGATTAATCTAGTTTGAATATAAAGAAGTATTTATTTAAAAATTATTAATTATTTAATATTAAATACTCGTACGTTTTTTTTATATATATAATATTTAAACTCGAAACTTTAAATTATTCGAAAGAAAATATTCAAAGTTGCGTATCCACCACCTAAATTGAATGAATTGAACCTGGCCATCATGTACGACATTTAATAACAGTGCGTGCTTGACTTTGATTTGATTTCCATTGACCATGTTTTAGACACCAACTAGCATTTATTTCCATCCACTTTCTTTCCTTTTCTTTTCCCTCTAACCAATCAGGTTGAGCAATGTGGTTAATCAAGCCAAGATGACGACACTGATGAAACATCGACGCCATTTCATGGCTACATCAAATGGGGTCTACAAATCTACCATCCATCACTCTTCTTCATTCCATTATGAGAATGTTTCATTTAGTCATTTTATATGAATATTTGTGACATCGAAGATAAATGAATTGACGTTGGTTATGAGTTCAAGCACTATAAATATTAAGAATATGAACGTTTATTGTCAAATAGTTGAAAGTTATTTTTTTAACGGATATTATATTTTACTTATCCTAAAAGGATTATATGAGAATGTGGAGAACTTGTGATGTGAGTCTCTTCCAAACCAGAGAAAGATGTCCACTTGAAATAAAGCTCTTGGGCCTTGCATTGCTGCCCGTAACCTTCTTGAACTAATCTGTAGACTATATATACTACTTGAATTCGGGAGTAAATATTATATTTCAAAACGCAACCCACTACTCTCTATATTAACACAGATTTAAGCAGCCCCATAAGTACACAAAAAATTAAAATTTATCATTACCACCACGTCTTAAATAAATCATGTCTGCATAGTCCCACTTTAACAAGATGATCCGTCACTAACGGTTTAAACTGACTTTATATTAACATATTTTTATAGAGCATCAAACATTATATATATGAGTTGATGGATTCAAAGTATGCTGCATATGAATTGGGGTCTTAACCTAATTGAAAAATGTGAAGCATAAAAGCCACACTTGGGGAACACAATTTATGATTATGATAGCACACAAAAAGCTCTTTAATCGGAGAAAAAATCATAGAAAATCGCATCAAAGTATCGATAATGTACGAACAATACATTATGGAGGAGAATGTGAGGTTATAGTTTCATAGTTTCAATGCTTTGTTTTTAGATTTCACTACTCACTACGAGATGTACGATGTGCATCACTTCTTTATTATAGTTCATGGGAGAATAAAAGGATGATTACGCACTTATATGCTACAACCAATTAGGGATGGAGGAAAGATTTTATATTAAGAGTGATGAATTTGTAAAATTTTATGTACCAGAGAACTTACAAAATTTTAAGAGGGACGAATACATTTTCTATAGAAAATACAAAGGAAATATCTAAAATATATCATAGTTTAAATTTTTAAAGAGAAATAATCATCCTCACCCGCTTCTATAGTTCCATTCCTACGACCAATGAATGACAAAAATAAGATGACACTAATTTCTTTTTCATTGTTTTGGTCATGATACCTCGGAAAACAAAACCACTTTTTTTCTTTTCGATTTGTGCAATTTAATTGTCTCGGTGCTCTTAACCTTGTGGCTGTGGGATCGAGTCCCACGGTGGGCAATTCATAATTACCGGAGGTCTTCCACGGAAGTTGCTCTCAACCTAGTGTTGGGGGCAGCCTACTACCGTACCTCCCCTTACCCCATTACATATGGGAATAGGGTCAGCTAATTTTAATTGTCTCGGTGCTCTAATAAAACATAGAACTAAAGTTTAATGCTATAACGGAAACAATTTAGAATTCAACAATAAAACCGATATATAATTCAAAATTTAACGATATTTGATATAATTTATCCTTGATCAAAGTAATTATCAATTATGGGTCAAGTTTGTGTCATCTTTCTTTTGCCAAAAGCCCTTATTAAATTATAAAATTTATGTATGATGAGACTCGACCCATATCTTAAGACAAATAGGTAATTTGTTAACAAAAATCTTACACTTAGACCGAACAAAATCATGGTTATAAAAAGAATGAAATATTGAAAAGGATTTGAAGCAAAATGTCTAGAAAAACCCAAGAAAATAATAATAATAAACAAGATTAATGATGAAACAAAGTTGAATCCACGTAATTTTTCACATGCATTGACAAACACTTCATCGGATTCCCCAAAGTAAGTAGACTATATGTTTCCTTGTCAGCAAAATAATGAATAAAGACGCAACAAAGGCAAAATCTTGATAATTCACATGACAGCCAATGGAAAGTGTTGTTCATTTTCACATGGGGGCATTTTCTCACTGAACGTGCCCCTATGCTTTCGAGAAACACAGAATCAAACATTCGTCTGCTTCAGATTGGTTATATTGGTCGGTGTTGAACGCCATGTTGCTTTGCAGTAATTGGTTTCAGTCGGGGGCTTTGGGTTTGAGATCATTTCCATTTAATGGGGAATTCACGTATTCAGGGATGGATCCAAAGGTCGTCGAAGATAATTAATATTTCAAAAATTTAAACTTTTATATGATTTACTTTTTTATATTTTATTAATTTTTTATTTTCTTTTAAAATTTTATAGATTCATTATATCCCCATGCTTTTCACTAGTCCATCTTGGTTTTGAAAAGGTTTTCTACATATTTATGCAATATTCAGGTTGACTAAGTTCCTATTAAACAAGAAAAATGAACCAAAAATAAAAAAAAGAACAAATAATTATGAAGAGATAAATGAAAATCAAAATAGATAGGGACATTAACTCTTGTTGCATGGTACCCCATATTATTACCATAAAACACTATAGCATCATCCCCCAATATTTTGCACCTTCAATTCCTCTTCAAGTTGTCCTTGAAACCTGTAATCAAACATTGTTTATATATATTAAAAAATTGAGAATATATGATGACGAAAATTGAAGAACCTTAGAGGATTAATTGGCGTTGAATGACATAATTGGTGCAACATAATACTAACGCACCACAGTTTTTCTCTTTAGGGATAATGTTATCATTTCGGGACAATTATGTCATTCAACGTCAGTTGTTCTTTTTTTATTATACAATTCAGTCCCTATCATCATCAAATCCTTAATTAGATCATTGTACAACATATCCGCTTCGATAAGTCATAGTAAACATCCTACACGATATTCAAATTATATCTTCTTTCTTTGAGGCGATGTCCAACACCCATTAGAGGTATGAAGATAAAATCCCCGACATCCATAAAATCTCAAAATATAATACATAATTATTGGAGGTTTTGATCGATCACGTTATCGAAAAATCCTTAAAAAATAATTAATTTAATTTTTTAAAATATAAAAAACTAGTATCTTACTTTCTTTTTTTTTACTAAAACAACTTACAAGGAAATAGGTTTCACCAGGAACCAAGCTGTCGAGCAAAAACCCAAGCTCGTTCATGGGGAGAGGCAAACCAGAGGAGTGGACCAACACTACATCTTGTCCAAACATGGCCTTGACGTCCAGTGGACCCCTTGGAACTTCAGTTGGAACTCCATTGATGAACACTGTGATGAACCCTGAAACTAAAAAAGTAAACTTTAGGGTTTACTTCAATCATCAGTTTCCCCTTAAAATAATAATAATAATTAAAACAATATGCAGCATATTTTTGGGG